TTGTTTGAAATATCTCCTGCTTCGATCAAGTATCTCGCCACATGTTCGACAGTAGATTCTGTCGTGTCCCCTGAAAATTTAGTGAACTTAGGGACTTTACATCTAGGAGGTAAGTCTGTTTGTAACACATATTCTGACAGTGGGGATGTAAAGTTAGGCCTACGAAAGCCCGTATTCATCCCATTTTGCGTCATGATTCTTTCAATCATGGCTGTTAGGTTATTTTCCAAACCCATATTCTGGTATTGGATGTGCTGAACTATTTCATCAACATTTTGGTTTCTGTTGACTATCCTTACTTCCGGGGCTATGACCCTAGGTTCTTCGACTCCGGGTTGTTCCAATCGCGTCCTAAGGTTTTCTTCGACAGACTGCTGGACTTGGTTAATAGTAGTTTCTTCCTCTAGAAGTATACCTTGGTTTCCTCTTATTTGCGCCCTTTGGGGCTGTCGAATAGGTTGGGGTACCCCAAAGAAATCAGCCAGACGCGCCATTTGTACTGTCATCTGCTGATTCGACTGGGTGGTATTTTGTATTAGAGGGTTCAGCACCGTACTTAAAGTTTGTGCCAACATTTGAACCATATTGTGGTTGCTTTCGTCCATTTGCTGCCTCAAGACTGCTGTCGAGGCATTCGTAAGGCCATGCGCTACTTGGGACGTTCCTCCTAAGAGTTGGGTCCTACCCCTGTTCGTCATACCAACTCCATAACCTTGGAGTGGCGAAGAGGCACTCACTAAAGGGTCTGAAAAAGTGGACGTAGCGTTCGTCAGGCTAGCCAATTCAGAAGTTGGCATGCCATAGAGTGGTTCTCGATTTAGACTGCCTGTCGAAAATCCTGGGGGAACGTAAGGCCTAGTTCCTGGGTTTCCCCTTGGTGGGGGAGTTCCCAGAGGCATTCTGGGGCCAGTGAACGGAGGTAATGGCCCCGTTTGTGTGACCGTTACTGCTGGTGTTGAACCAACGGTTAGCGTTTCACTTACGGTTGGGATAACCGTTGTTCCCACATTTGTTTGTGGGATTTCGCTATTGTTTGGCGGATTCGCCATTGCTTCACTTCTTCTGGTAGTATTGGTATCGTTAGTGTATACTCTGCCACTTCTCAATAACATGCAATACTTCTCGAAAAAGATGATATTCTATATAAATACGGTTAACCTTAAGAATCAACACAAGGTCCCACTGGGCGTGCCAATTTGTTTACCGTGGAAATTGGTAAACAACCGCTGATCTTCCAAAAGGTTACTTATTTGGTGACTCGCAGGATCGATCAGATTGATCCTAAGACATGGTTGATTTTTTGGGGTTTGATTAAATCTAATGATGGTTAATGCCAGGAAAGTAAAGACACTTTATGTAAATTGCATGAAGAAAAGCGTGATAGAATAAATGAAAGCGTTAAATAAAGGCTTCGACTGGGAAGAGTAAGTGAAAGGCAATAAAGTTCTGGAATATAAAAGACTTTGATTAATTTAAATGGTGTTTCACACATACATTCTCAACAATTCTTTCGCTCACACTGGGTACTTGAATCTAGATGAGTGACTTGTATATAATTGCGAACACACGCGAAAACTACGTGAACAACTAGTATTTATACTAAACACATCTCAAGTAACCGTTGGGCAGTTACGCTGCTTCGAGATGACACCACTTGGCATGCTCACAGCATTCGACGCTCCTGATCTTGGCACGTTGCACTTGGTAACTGCTGGGAACCGTTTTCCCTCCAAACATTCGAATCTCAAACCGTTCCACTCTGAGCATCGAATACCTTTGTCGAGAAGCTCCGTCGACGTCGAAGGCAACAAGATTCCTACTTAAAGAAATCCTCTAAGTACCTTGCCACCTTCTGACGAGCATTCGACATGATCAACTGGTCGAAACCATTCCTCATGATTAAAAGGTCTATATTAATAAAAAACAAAGGTGTCGAATTTAGGAGCCAACAATTTCATTATGTTGGTTTTAGAGCATTTGGTTAACGGCGTCCCACTCTCTATAAAAAATAACCCTTACTATCACCCAACCACTTCTTCAGTGTCGAATATGCAGATCCAACTCTGTTAATTATTGTAAAGTCGAGGTGTCTAACCTTACTGCTTCAAGCACAAACAATTTTCTCTTTCATTTGGTCCAGAATAGTACTCAACATATTTCAGGAAATCTAGATATCTAACACACACACACACTACTAAACTTCTTTACAGAGGCAACATACAAGTCTTTCATGGATGGATTTAATATACCATTTCATGCATCCATTATCTTTTCCAACACCACACCAGGTTTGACCAATTTTTCGTCTTCACCCTAGATTTGTTTGGTGTCTACCACGGGTTTGAGGCGACTTCTCACATTTTTTGTTATGTGATATCGACAAAGTATTGCATAGGATGTAGCAAACACCTTTGTAACCGAATTCATTAGTGTGGTGTCTTGATCGGTAACAATTACATTCGACATATTTACTTGGTCCTTCAACAAAGTCGTGAACATTTCCAAGGCTCATGTAACGTTGACCTCTTTTTCGAAATCTAAAAAAGAAAATCCTACTGAAAATTCTTCTTCGTAGAAGTAACACCAACAATTTTCATAAGCGGAAGCATGTACTTGTAGATCTTATATGTTGAATCAATTATGAGTATATTAGGAAATATGTTCAAAAACTTTATACTTTCGGGATGAGTCCAAAATATGTCACAAACAATGACTTTATCCTCACAAACTTTTTACCTGGAAACATAGTGGTTATCTTCCAAAAGCTTCAAAAGTTACATTTCGGATCATGGACCTCTTATCGTCGTGTTGTTTCGATAACGCGCATTGTATACCTGCTTGATATTTGAAACACTTTTAGGTCTTTTCCGTTTCAAATTTGCAAGTATGTTTTTTGGCGCCATCCTGATTAAAGACATGTCTGAAATAATTTCCTCTCCTCCGATTTAAGGCGACATATGATGGAATGACCGACTAGCTCGATTTGTAAGGCATGGTTATGCATAACATAAACCACATTGAATTATCATGTATCATTCACCTTACAGTATCCACACAATTTAAGCGGACACTCAAATTTTCTCGATCTGGTATCATCGCGTTTCAACTTCCGAATCGGTGGAACGTATGTGCCACTTCTCTCGCATATCATAGTAGCAAATTCTTTCCTTCTATTGAAACCATTGTCAGACCTTTCAATTACAATGTTAAACCCCAATTTCCCGACCTTCATGCGGATCCATTGAAGAATATGTTCACAGACGGTAAACAGTTGTTCATTTCTAAAATATTGACCAATATCTATCTCAACAGCAACCGGTCAAACATCATCATTCACCTCATCTGGTTTAACATTATATTTCACTTCATTCGATTTTACATCATTACTTATAGAAGTTTTAGAAAATATATTCAGGTGCACCATATCTAATACAAACCAAAATAGAAAAGCGGATTAAAAAACTCACAGCAAGAGAGAAATCCGAAAATGCACATTCGAAACATGAAAATCTAAATTCGGAGATGCACATCGAACATAACGTATATTTTTTCAGCTCAAGAACAAGATTAATGCAAACAATGAGGGATGATATGATAAAACACAAGAACGGTGATTTGGAGTCGAAAAGTTGATTGAGAATTTTTTTTAAAAGGATTTGAGTTATGGAGGTGTCATGGAGTGTGAGAGAAATGATCATGCAAGATGGTGATAAATTCAATTTTCCGCTTGACAATTTCAGAGATGCATCTCTGAAATCATCATTGAATGTTTAAATAAACCAGCTCAATAAAAAACGCGTAGTAAATAAGTTGAGTGGTGTTTTCGAAAATACATCTCCAAATATACTACATTAAATTTTTGCAGATGCATCTCCGGACCAATTTTAACAAAAATTGAGTGTCTGTTTAATTTACGAAGGATGAGGTGCGTCTAAAAATACATCTTTGAAAATATTTGAGGATAATTTTGGATTTAATGCCTAAGAGTGAGAAAACAAATTCCCAAATTAAATTAGATACTATATGAAGTTAAAACATAAGCTACTTGACCATAAATTAGATAATCAAGTTGATGTATAAGCTACTTAACCATGAATTTAATTAACATGTCAAATTGAAATATATAAGCTACTTAACCATGAGGTTCTTATTTCTTTAATCAGATAGTTGGTTATATAACTAGAAGGAAAAAAATCGCTTCATCCATGTCTTAGAGATGTTTCTGTATATAGTGGTGTACACATATTTACCGAATGAGCCAAGAAAAAATGGGATTTAGATCCTCTCCAATTTTTTAACACCTCCTGCCCATTCTGCTTTGATCCCAGCCTTTAAATTAATCTATCAATGAAAAGGAAAAAAGTTTTATTCAATAACTAAAGAGATTCAACCATCCAATGGTCATAAACTGCACAGGAGAGGTGATCGGCAGGGACAATGCAGGAGAGGATCTGGTTCCGAAAAAATGGGACTAGAGAATTTTTTAATTTTAGGTAAAATCTTAATAACTAGTTCACCTTATTTTAACAGATTTCACTGATTTTACAATGAATTATAAATCGTGTCGAATTCTAATTTCATTCTATCGGTTTTACAGTAAGTACAACACAAATTTCACACCTAAACACGTAAAAAGGCAATTTTAAGAGTTAACATGCAATTTTGACATCATGCATAGGTCACAAAATTATGTGATCACTAATAAGCACCGACTTTTTTACAAAGAACCTATAAAAATTTCCTATAAAAACAGCATAAACCCATCTACAAACCCGTGACCCGTGTGATCTATAACCTGCCTAATCTATACGAGAAAAATGGACAGAATTGAATATATGTATACCAACTACGGTTTGAGTCAACAGTGGTTTGAGCCGGATTGATATTTTGATCCCCACGTCCACCTCTTGTCGGCTCCTAATTGTATGTTGTGTCTGCCTTGAAGTGCTTCATATATTACTACATGAAAGGTCAGGTTACATAATACAGAGTTCTTATTGTCATTTGGCAGCAGCTAGCTGTTTCTTTAGGTCCATCAACTCTAGTCCCTGCGAACGTAGCATGTCTTTCAGCTTCTCTGAAGCTTCTTTGTACTTTATTTTTGATGCGTCTAATTCTTCCATTGCTTCTTTATATCGCAAGCGATGAGCATCTAGCTTTGCTTGTGTTCCACGGAGCATCATTCTAAACTCAGCTGTTTTATTGATGTTTGTAACTTTATCCTGTTCATAATAAAACAGCATATTTCTGAGAATAAGAAGACCCCTTAAATGTTCACTAATGCAACTGGTATATGGCTTAACATGGAGGAACATTTCTAAGGATAACAAATATGATTCACTTACAGCATGCATTTGGACTTCCATGCTGGAAATTTTATCGCTGAGCTCCTTCATATGGTCATTTTCCCTTGACAACTGTAAAAAATAGTGATTAAAAACATTGTAAGGTAACAATCATAAGAAAATCCTTAGTTTACCTCATCTTGGCAATGTTTTAGCTGGAGTTCCACTTCTATAACATGTTTCTGTTGATCTTCCATCTCGGTTATCAATTTGTCCCGTTCTTCAGTGACAGTGGAAAGTTTGATCTTGAGATTCTGAAAAAGTTGATGAACAGAAGTTAATTGCAACTTATAAGAAAAGCAGTTATTTAGAAGATTGATAATCATTGCAAAATCATTTCAACTTTTCTTTTATAAGTGTTTGCTGAAACTTTTATCCAAACTAACTCTAATTAGTAAACCCATGATTCTTACCTCTGATAATTCTGTTGATAATGACGTGATTTTCTCATTATTTGACCTTGCTTGTGCTTCTATGGCTAGAAGTGCAGCTTTCTCATTGGCTGACCAAATTGCTCTTTCCTCCTCTATTTCCAATAAGGCATTTGTGAGTTGCTGCGAGATCAAGGAGACGCGTTAAAACAATTTTACATTTATAACAAGAAATTGCCTTAAAGGGAAGAATAACAATCAAAAGAAGAAAAAAAAGTTGCAATTGCACTACCATGGACAACTCCTTCTTTTCTTCCACCAATTCTTTGATCGAGCTTTTCAATTTTTCTTGGTTGATGTCAAATTCTTCCAATCTTTGTTTCTGGATGCACATGAATAAGATGTCAGATTTGAGCATGTAAGATCTCAACAGATATCAATAGTCAATTTCAGCATTCAAATTCAGAATCTATCCCCCTCTAAATTTTCTTTCAATGACTATAATTTTCTCTCAGCTCTTTGGCATCATTTTATCGATAGTTTAACATAAAAGTTGAAGTTGAACGGAGAAACCGAAGTAGAATTTTGCAGAACTTACAACAGCTGAAATCTCCTCATTCAAATCAGATATTTCAGAGGTTGATGTCCTGAGTTTTTCAGACAAATCTTCCAATGTTGAATTCAAAGCTTCGTTAATAGATATCACCTCTTCTTTCTCATTCAACGCGACTGATATTTCTTCTTCCAACGAAGTGATTCGTGTTTCTGATTCAAATGCATAAACTTCCAGCTTTTTGTACTCTTCCTGATCACCAATACAAAACTCAATTAAAACATTGTACTTATTTCTTGCTACAATCAGTTGTCTACAAAAGGAACTAAAGGCTTGATTAAATAATAAGTAATAACCACATGGTCTTATACCAGAGAAAATGGAAGATCCTTTGGTCTTTGAGTATCAAACATCTTTGAACTCTTTCCAGCAAGTGAATCACATTTACTGATATCGCGTTCAAGACGCGAGTTCTGACCATGCAACCGTTTGATCTCTCGCTCAGCATAGGCTTTCTCACCCTACAAATATTTTGGGCGATAAAATTATATGCGTTCGACAAGTCAATATGTTACAATGAAACCAAAAATAAAACACTTGAGTATAGCAAAAAAAACCTCAAGTTTTGTTTTCTCTTGCATAGCGATCTTAAGCTTCGATTCAGTTTCTTTCATCTTGGTTTTTGCCTTCTCAAGATCTTTTCTTAGAGTTTCCTTTTCCTTGGCCACTGAAGATGATGTTAAACATGCTATCTCTTTTTCAAGAGTTTGGATATAAGAAATCAGATCTTGATTTTCCAATTCTTGTTGTTCAAACCGTTCCTATAATAACAAAAAGTTAGCATGCCCGAGATGGTGCATTACACAATCATGCAAAACAAGAGATAGTACAGATAACATGTCATCAAATAAAGTCCCACCTGCAAAGAATTATGAGAGTTCTGAGCATCTAGTTTTGATTCCTCAAGAAACTTTTGAATATTCGATAACTGGCTGTCCAGAAGAATCTGCAACCCAAATATTAGACCTACCAGAGAACCCAGATATGACAAGAAACATATCATAATAGAAAGGCAACTTTACCTTCTGATTCTCAAGCTCGGATATTGTTTGAGTTAAGCAAGAATTCAACTTCTGACAATCATTAAAGATTAATTTTTGTCCGGCAGAATCCTGAGATATTAAGGTTTTGAAACCCTGCATTAAATCATAAAATGAAATCAAAATTGACGAGTCTAAACATATTCATGTAGATACAATAATTAGTTAGAAAACACTAAGCAATTTTATTTTTATTACATTTATCCAATATACCGCCGAAATAACACTTACAAGGAACGTATGACAGAGAGCAGAGAAACTTTTAGTCGCATCATCAATCATCAAAAGAACACTTTGAACAGTTTCTTTCGAGTTTTGTACTTCGGACATTACATCTTCGATTCCCGTGGAAACACTGGCTATAAAGTCAACATTCTCATCCTACATGAAACACCAAAAATCTGTTTTATAGGAAAGATTATATAACCATGAAATCATAATTAAGCAAGAATCTAAAAGTTCATACAAAGCATAAAATGCATACATCAATGCAGCTCACAGTTTTACTGGAAATAAGTTGTTCATTGGCCACTCGAGCTGCCTCCTTTGCTTTTATAAGCTCATCATTGAGCTAAGTAGATGAAACAGAATTCAGGAATTAGAAATGTGTAATATAGTATTGCTTTCTCAAACAATTCAACTAAAGCACACTTAATGATAGTCAAGGTGTAATCAATAATCTAATATCAATATCTTTCAATCAGATTAGAAAGCATCGTAGAAGAAACTTTATCAACAAAAACAATGATTACCTCTTCAATTTTCTCCCTGGCACTCACGTTCTGCTCGGTTGCCAAATCATAAACAGTATCCAGGTTCTGTTGGCTTGATAGCTTTTCCATTTCCAAAACGTTAATCTTCAAGATACAAGAACGAAAAATATAAGCAAGACGCGTCTAGAAATCACAAAAGCACATTTCATGAGGTAAGAACACTTAATCTTTTTGCAGTAAACCATAACAATTCTAATTCTTTTGTTCATTCCCACTTTCCTTAAACACATTTCATGCAGCACAAAGCAGAAAACAGTTATTACAAATGTAAAAAATCAAATAAACTTTTGGAACTAAGAAAGAATAAGCATGAAAAGAAAAACCTGCTCTTGAAGTCTCTTGATAACAAGAATAGCCTCTGACTCTCTAAGACTATCATATTCTGATTGTTGTTGTATATATTTGTTGTCCTCCTGCTATAATTGCAACATGTTAGAATACAAACTATTGAGAATCGAAATAGGAAATACTAGTAACTAATAAGCCATATGATACGACAAACCATAGATAATCTTTTCTTCCATGATGAATCTCTTTTCCTGTTTGTCACAAGCAATAAAGCACGAGGGTTTGGTATATCGTTATTTGCATCACCTTTATCGTCCTCTTCTTTCTTACAGGAGTCGTCCACATTGAAATCTTCATCTAAGAGTTTGTTGAAAGGAACAAGTGGTCCCATTTCTAGCTTAGGTCGAATAGGCTCTGTGGTAGAAACATCAGTGTGGATGCTAGAATGCACCTGAAGTGCAGAAGACAAATAAATGATATGATTACAATAATAAAAATAACTTAACTAGTATCACAAACAAACACCAAATCATAATTCATATAAAACCCATCAGAACTGATAATGAATTTTTAGAAAGAAAGTAACACGTTACATCTTTTAGATGCGCCTGTGAAATATTTCCAGGACACCATGTATCCCGACGCCTCTTCTCCTGCAGAGTATGCGCGAAAAAACTCAATTAACCAATGGTAGTAAAGAGAGGAGGATGCAAGAAATACAAAAAGATCAGGCAAAAGCATATTAGTTGTAAGGAGTTAGTACTAGCCAAAAGAAAAATTAACAAACATGCTTATGTAGGCAATCATTGCACCAAGGAGGTTGGAAAAATAAGCATGCAAAAGGAAATTAGAAAAACCAGTTGTTGGTGCAAGCTAGTCAGTGACGAGACGACTGCTTAAGAAACAGTTATTCAACTACTCCATTAAGAGCCTAATACCCAAAATGAGGTACATGCTGTACAAAGAGCCTAATACAAACCAAGCTACTCCAACAGCATTGAATATATGTGTGTACATGCATTAGTAATACCTTTTTAATATATTTGTAAATGTATTTCAATACCAAATATATTTGCACACGCATTAGTAATACCTTTTTAGTATATTTAACGTTCTCATCCCTATTTGAAAACAAAACCATTGAACTCAAGTTTTCAATTCTCTTGGCTTGCTCATGCACTCTCTTTTCCCATTCACCTTGTGTTTTCTTTTTCTCTTCTAATTCCAAAGCTATGCGTTCCCTTTCTAGTTCAGACTGACAAAAAAAAAAGCATTGTAAGTTCGTAACATAATGAATAAACAAGAATTTTGTAGTGATTAACTAAGAAGGACAATTCATGTACTTGTAACAATGTATTTCGAAGGCTCAGAATCTCCTCTTCCAAATGCTCTGAACGAAAACCCTAAAGAAAATACCAATTATAATTTTAGCAATATTTAAGATAACTAAATTGTGTTTATTTACAATCAAACAGAAATGGTTATAAAAGATAAAATAAATAAAAAATGATAATATAAAATTAGATCAACCGTCAATTTAGCACGAAGCTCTTCAATTTCCTTCTTTTGGCGCTTTAATAAAGCAGCATCTGTCATAATCTGGAGCGTAAACAAAAAGAAAAGGAAAAACATTATACCACTTAAATGGCAAATCCTAACCACTGATAATAAGAGAAGAAGATCAAAATAAAAGAGCACTTCAATGGCAAATCCTAACCACTGATAATAAGAGAAGAAGATCAAAATAAAAGAGCACTTCAAATGAAGGGAATGGATTGGAGAAACCTCATTGATTTTAGCACAATTTGTAACACGCAAAGCTCGGCTTGCAAATTGTAGACTGCTTTTAGTTTCATCTGTATGTATCTGCCAGATATAATAAAGATGAGCTGTAATTAGAAAAGTTTGATGTGTAGGAAACGGCTAGTTGTTTGGGAGGAGGAAAAGAGGAAATTTGTAACAAAATTTAATACATGTCATCTATGGAGGACGAACATAAATGTACATGATTGCAGTGATATAAAAGCTCCTAGTAGAGAAACATGACGGTGCTTTATATTAAGAAATTTGGAAAAGAAATGGTTTACAATGGACAGAAAAAGAGTTAAACTTGTAGATATATGATAAAATTGTGTCAATGAAGCGTAAGAAACTAAAGAGGGATATCTCACCTGAGCAAGTGTGATATTACAGATTATAGCTGTGTTAGCATTTCCCCCTAACGCAGATTGCAAAATTCTTGTAAGCTTGCTATCTCGATATGGAACATGACCCCTGCATCAATTTTTATACATTCAATTTTTCTCATCGAAACACAAGAAGCTAAATATAATGAGTCAAACTTACCCTTGACTCTCAACGCCTTCACTCAATTTTTTAATCACAGTTCCCAAAGTCATTAAGCTTTTGTTTATGTGTGATCCCTCTTTGAGACGTACACCTTCTGCTCCAGTTTTTGCAGCACGCTCTGAACCAGCAAGATCCACTAAATTCTATAAAAAAATAAAGATAATGACTAAAAATATGAAAATATATATACAAATATTCATTCTACCAACACCAACATGTGTGTGTGTGTGTCATGTAGGTGAATGGTTAAATAGCTACACGCAATAAGTAAAGACTTTTCAATAAGAGATAAATTTCTAATTGAAACATTGACATACCAACGCTGATACACGAACAGCATCACAAGAGCTACTAGTGCTTTCATCTTGATTTCTATCTCTGCTTTCAATTATCTATTAAACACAACATTTTAATTATTGAAGGGGAAAGCATCAACAAACTCTTTTTAAAGAAAAGTGTAAAATCTGAAAGAATATTGATTACCATGCGAAAAATAGTATGGGATCTACTACTGTACAAATTCATATTTGTCTCTCCGATATGTCTATGGGCTGATACAAATTCAAAGAATGGAAAGAAAAATTAGTTGTCAGGAATCAGTAGCATAAGATATACCAAACATACATGAATAGAAATTTAAGTGACACAGAAATGGATAAAAGGAGATAAATGTAACACTCGAGAAAAATGCATAAATTAAAATTACACTCTCCAAACTCCATGAGATTAAGAACTTGCTCAGAAGAGGTAACAATTTCCTCTCGTAGCCCCGCAACATATATTCCTCGCTGTGAAATCAAATTAAAAGGATATGAAATAATAAAGAGTACAAATATAACTCCAAAAATGAGCAAATATCACCCAGAAAAAGAAGAAAAATAATAATAACCTCTATATTTTCATGAATCTGCAGTTTTCGATGTTCAGGGGCCAATAAATCATTTATCTCTTCATTGTAAATCTCCATGTATGACATTCTAAGAAGAAACTCTCGATCAACATCCTAAAATAAAATAAAAAAACATCATCCATGAGAGTCTATATGACAATATTGAATAGAGAATCAGGGAATTTGGAAAATGTTAACAATGCCATGATGATATCATGATAGAATAGCCTAGGTTGTATGACTTTAAGATCACTCTAGATGCCCAAAGGATAAAACCTCATTGAGTAAAACAGATATCACAGTCATTAGTTCTTAAGAGTAACAACTAGTAGTTGCAAGTCAAGGTGGATTCACATCAACTCTATTTGCTTTGTAAGAATAGGAAAATGGAAAATGGTGTAGCCACGGCTTTCCATCTCTCAACTCTCACAACCAGTATTTCTATGAGAGAACCTGTTATTTCCTAGATTCAAAATGACAAGTATAAGAGAGTATTTGTAGGTGCATTTGGTGAAATCTGGAATTATTTCTAGAACCTTCCTAATTGAAACTCACTTCTAAATATATGATAGTTTTCTAAGAAGAAAAACAATTGTTACTTTATCAACAACAGAAGCAGGGCTAGTAGTTGTGTAGTAGCTTCTTATGCAAGTCAAGCTATTTAGTTGAGAAAGATTCTTGATCAACTCTGATTCAAGCAACTGTAATCTATTCCAGCAATAAAGCTCTCAAAAAAATTTGTTCAGCATTGAAAATAATTAAGCATAAAGATCTAAAGAACCATTTCTTAAGGGATCTAAGTAAGGATGAAGTAGCTAATATTGTTTTTATGCAGGAGTAAATTATCCATCCAAAGTGTAGTCATGAAAAATATGAAACACAATGAATTTAATTATGAAATTTAAACTGGTGTTGAGAAATGCTTTTCTATGGAAAATAATTCATCAACGCTGAACTAAAATATCATTAATATCATCTTTTATCTAAACTATCTAGCTATACAAGATTTGGAAAGGAAAATATTTATTCTACACCAGAATAGTCACAATACCTTCTTCATGTTTTGTACACTAGTTAATTATGGGTGATTTATTAGTTAATTTGTATCAATCGGTTATCAATCAGGTAATCTGTTATTGAAGAGTTAAGACAAACAATTAATTTGATAACAAATCTAGATTCTATACATGTTACAAACCAATAAATAATAATCTATTCATCTCCGGCCAATGTAGATAAATGTGGAATCTCATGTATAGAAATGTCTTTACCAAGAGTATCTTTTCAGGTCAATGTAATGTCAGCACTGTGTTAGCATTTGGATATCTCTAGTCATTTGCGTCATAACATTAGAAATGATGAACCAGAGAAATAAGTGTTTGACTAGTTGTCAACACTCAACACTTCAATTCCAATCCAAAAAACTCGTGAGTGAAGAGAAATGTTCAATATAAAATCATTTTTAATTAAGCTTACACCTTAAACTAAAATGCATAATCAGAATCAAATCATATCATAACAAGTTCAACATTTTTAAAGAAAACAGAACAAATGAGCAATAGTGATTTACTTGTTGAAGAATGTGAAATAAATCCTGCACCGCGCGAGGAATAACTCCAGGCTCGGCTTTAGATCCCCGCATTGTATGAGTCTTCCCACTATTTGTTTGTCCATAAGCGAAAACAGTACCTTCATTTCATCATTTCAATTCAAAAACCCTAAATTAACAATTCAAAAACCCTAAGTTCAAAAACACAAAGTTAACCGCACTCACCGTTGAATCCACTGACTGCAGCAGCTACAATGTCTTTGGTACGAGTTTCATAGACTTCGGATGTTTTACTATTTTCATCGAATACTTGATCTACAAAGGATAATATGAAATTAAGAGAAAATTAATGAAAAATAAAAGGGAAATTGAGATGAAAATGGAAATGAAAACTGTGAGTACCAAATTCGAACGTGGAGGAGTGGTTGGGAATGAAAATGGAGTTGCCGGAGAGTCTCCATAGGCTGGTTTTGGCGTCCTCTGGCGAGAGAGGCCTTGCACGGACAGTTACATGAATTCTATCCATGAGTGGGAAGATGAAAGAAAATGTGAGAGAATGAGAAAAATGATTCTTGTTTGTTGGTGGAAGATTGAAGAATGTATTCAGCTTCTCTGCTCTGCTAAAAAATACTCCCGCCCTGCGTACCGAATTAGGGCCACAATCCAACACTTCAAATTTTAGTGATACATTCAAATTCTCCAATTTTAGTGTCACTAGAGCTGTGTCTACTTTGAATATTCACTTTAAAAAAATTGGGTCTCTTTTATTTTTATTAATAGAATAATTTCTATAATTATCTTTAATTATTTTTTATTATTTTATTAATTTTTTATTAATATTAATAATAATTAATTGATTCACATAAGTCTTGAAAACAAACAAAAATTATTTACATGTATTTTTGTTTCTTGATGCATAAAGAATCATTTGAGGAAGACCGAACAACCAAATTGGTTCACTTGCCAAAGCCAACAAAACCTTCTCAACAACCATAAAGCTAACATAACATGTAAGTCCATTCAAACAGAAGAAAACAGTAGTACAAATCAGAGAAAACAAAAGCGGAAAATCGAAAGAAGAATTCAAATCAGAAGCTGCTCAAATCCTCCGAGTTCGTCTCCATCAAAACTACGGTCTCACTACACTCCGACGTCAACGCCGCAGCCCCGTTGCCACTCGGATCTGAAGCACTGGCAGCCACCAAGTGTAGCTCACTTTACCGCCGCCTTTGACACCACTGGAAAAGCCCAACGACTGCACTACATTCACATTTCACTAATGCAACAACCATCATTGTCGTTTGTAACCTGCGCGAATTCCCAACCACGCTTTGATCAGGTTTTCGTTTCCTTTTCTTTTGTGTTGTTTGTGTTGGATATGTGTATGCTTTGTTTGATGATTGAAAGAAGAAACTATGAAAGGAAGAAGAAAAATAGTGAGAGGAGAAAAGATGAAATTTTGAGTTTTTTATTTCTCGCGATGCTATTTAATTTATGTGACATTAATTATATTTTTTGGAAAGAAAATCTACCATGGATCCCTTGTTATTGCTTAGAAGGATAATTGAAAGTCTTGAATCTATAATAACTGTGAGTTTATTCTGCTGGAGTTTCATTTTTTTCCTTCTGTTATGGTTAGAATATAGTTGATTCTAACATATTAGCAATATGGGCAAGTGCTTTCTTTTGAAAGATCGACTGAAATTCATGTAATAATATTTGTTGCACAATTTCGACTGGAGAAGGTATGTATACTCATATCATGTGCTTTAATATTAACCATTTAAAGTGTGCAATACTAAAATTTGTGTTCGAGTTGTGTGTTACCTATTGTTGTTTGATATTAGAATATGTCGGTTTGATGTCTGTTTCGTTTCAAGGAATTTTCTTCTCCACAAAGTTTGGTGTAAATTTGGTTTATATCGATGCTTATGTTACAACAACAGAAGAAGTTGCTTTAGCCAATGCTCCTGTGCAGGGGCGATTTTATAACCCAGCGAGCTTGAGCATGCGCCCGGGCTCAATCCCACTTTCTTTGTATTCTGGACTGGCCCGACACCCAGAGTGGGCCCTGTAACGTCCATAATTTAATTAATTATTTAATTAAATTATTTTTGGAATATTTGTGAAGTTGAGTTTTGATGACATTTGATGTGTTGTGATTAGTTGGATTTATTTATTTTATTAAGTTGTGGATTAATATTAGAATGATAATATTATTTGATGTGGACTTGTTTTAAAGGATAGAAGTAGTAAAAAGGGGGTGTAGTAGTCTTAAGTCTATTAAGGTATTTTGAGAATAATAAGGTTATTTTATTACTGTTAGAAATAAGAAGGAAAGAAGAAACAGTAAGAGAGAAAGAATAAGGGTTGAAAGAAGAGAACATGAAAGTTGTTGGAAAGGAAGAAAAGAGGCAGAACGAAAAATCAACCAAAAAGTTATAGAGCAACATTCAATCCAAGATAAGGGTGAGGTTCTGACTCTATAATAAGGTTTATGATGATTGGTATGTGGGATTAGATGTGGAAATGTTGTCTTGTTCATGATTTAAATGTATATGATGTTGTATGATGAAAATCAATGATTGAAAGATGAATAATGATGTCCCAATGCTGTATATTTGATGTAGAATTATAGGATAATTATAACTGCTGATTATCTATGATTAGAGGATGTTTTTAGGGCCTAAAGTATGGAAACCGTAGTGAAAACGCAGTGAAATCTCAGAAAATATCCATGACAGAGCAGTATGTGTCGACCCCAAATGTTATGCGTCGATACATGAAGGCCTTTAGACTCAGGATGAGTCGATACGAAGGAGTCATGCGTCGATACATGAAGACTTTTAGACTCGGGATGAGTCGATACGTAGGAGCATGTATCGATACATGCAGTGTTGCAGACTCAGTATGAGTCGATACAAGAGAGTATGCGTCGACTCATGTAGCGTTTTAAGTCCAGTACGCGTCGACCCGAGACAGTACGCGTCGATCCATGTTGTCTGGTTTTTGGCAGAATCTGGAAGAGGCTGTAACTTGAGTTTTCGGACTCCGTTTGAGGTGTCGTTCGGAGCGTTGAATAGATAACGCGATGAACTTCATTCTTAAGGATTAAAATGAAGAATAGGAAGGATAATCCTAGTATACAAATTAGGATTAGAGATAATTTCCCGCGTTAATCGCTATGTGGATTTTTGTGAAGAATGATGAGGATGAGATGATTATAGGTTACTGTTTGGTTGGTAACAGTAGGATTAATGATGATAATGATGTAGTATTACAGAATAGTAATATGTAGAAGTTTGATAATTTAGAGGTAAGCCTTAGATGATTAATTAATTATAGGCAATATCATGTTATAGGCCTATGGTCAACGTTGCGAAATTGACGAGTTACTGTCGTATTGTTGTATGGCTGAGTTGTTGATGAAATGATGTTTGATGAATTATGATGATAAATGATGTTTGATGCATGATGATAATAAACGATGTTGATAAATGATGTTGATGAAAGATGTTTAGATGCCTCTAATAATTGACAGCTATTAAGATGTAGGCTTCTGGCAAACGATGATGTTGCGTTGAGATGTTGTTAATTATGGCATTGTCATTACATTCATGATTGTGTCGCATACATTGCATTTCAAGATGGAGCTTATGCTCGTTAAGATGGTCTGTATTGGCGAATATTAAGATGAAGGCTTATGCCTTGTTGATGCCTCTATTTATTGGTAGATTTTTAAGATGGGAGTTCTGCTCCAATGGTACCACGTGCATTTGCATAGTATTGAGTCACATTATATAATTGCATAAAGAAGTTGTGAATTGATGTGATGAATGTGTATTATAGTTGGTAATTCTGTTGCGATTATTGTTGATTATAAGATGAGAAATGGTGATGTTATGTGATCTAATTTAATATATTAATTATTATACATTTTATTATATTGTTAGATATCTCACACCTTCTGTTTGAATGTTACCCTTACGTTGGTAACGTGCAGGTAATCGAGAGTGAATGTTGTATACCTTCAGTAGTTCGAGTCGGTGTCATTGCTCTGATATGTAACACTCAGGGGGTATGAACACTTGTTGCTTTTAAGTTGTTGATTATTTCAGTTGTTGAACTTTAATTTGATCGTTGTTAAGTATGTGTTGTTTTGAAGTTGTTGTAACAATGGATAAAGATGTTATTAAGAATTTTGTTGCGTAAATGTCTAAATTGTTGAATTAAGAGATTAAATTATCATGTTGATAGTTCATCCGAAGTTTCAAAGTGTTATGTATCCATGTTGAATGTAATGAGTTCTTAAAGTTGAATTTGTGGCATCCTGATTCGTTTGCATGAATAATTATAACTCTGATTTGCATATATAATTGTCGGGTAGAATTGAAGTGTTACAGGCCCAGTCTTACCCCTTCTTTCGGAATGGTCCATACACCTATGGCCTGAATCTCCCCCGCTCTTCATCGGGCAACATCGACCCCTTTTGCCCTTCTAAGTCGGCGCTGACCTAAGATGATTGACGAGCACATCTCAGTCTTCCCAACCTCAAGTCGTGCAGACAACTAGGAACCGACCAGATTGCTGCTCGTAACCTACCCCCTCCTCGGATCTAACAGCTAGTTGCGAGCACACCTGTCCGGTATGACCAAGTCCTAGCAGTTACCTATTTTTGCGGACCTGCATATCTAGGCCCAAAAACAGGAATCAATGGCCATACGTCGTGGGCATTATATAAACTCTCACACATGTGAGGGTCAGGTATCAAATATTCACTATTCACCACTAACACCCTAATATTTTGCTCGTATCTCTTCGCTCTCACACTTACTTGATCATCAGAGTGCCTTGCAGGTACAATCCCCTTTTTCCTCCTCGATATCACAACCTGACTGAAGATCATCATACGACTACCTTGCAGGTTCTAATCAACCGATAAGATCAGTGGCGCCGTCTGTGGGAAACCTGTTATCCCCATATTTCTTTCCCCGAAACTCAAATATCAAAGCAGATATTCAAGATTCCATTCACCAATCATGGCTGGCCATGATGATCTCCTCCTGCTTAGAAAGAATCCACTTTCCCCGATGCACAAGACTGACGGAGGTCAGGGACATCCTCACCTCGAGGATAACTTCGACCTCCGCGAGGTTTGAACTGCATCTCTAGACTCCATTGGCGCCCAGCACGACGAACAACATTTCTTGGATGGACAGCGTCCCAAGATCCCCGTTGAGGAACTTTCAGAGATCCTACAACCAGTTCTTATCCCTCAGAGTATCGATTTGGCCATCGCAGCATTGCTTGCTGCCATCAACCAAACCAACGCCTTTATCTTGCAACTGAATAAAAAGACGGGGCCTGGGAACAGAAGCAGTTAAGATCTCCTCCTCGGAGATCCCGGTGAGGATATTCCCCCAACACATCTCCACCAAGGCGTGGCCATCCACCAACAAAGGAGAAGCGCAGCGTTTCTTTCTTCAAGAAACGCGACCCCTCACTGCCACCAAAGGATCAAGATCT